GGAGCCGCGTCCCCGAGCAGCGCGCCAGGCGCCCACCCGCCGCCATCCTCTTCCGGAACCAAGGGTCACGTGGGACAGGCCGGGGCGGAGCCTCAGCGAGGGGGCGGGGCCGCGCGGGGAAGTGACATGTCGCGGCCATGGCGCGTTTCCCCGCGAAGACCCGCCCCCGCCCTTAGGCCCCGCCCAGAGAAGCAGCGCCGTGTTACTTACCCTTCGTGGCCACGCCTCTCGCGTAGGCCACGCCCGGAGAAGTTATGCCGTGTCACTTTCCCAGCGTAGCCCCGCCTCTCCCCTTAGACCACGCCCACATTCTCAGAGAGGCCGCGCTGTCACTTTCCCTGCGTGGCCATGCCCCTTCACGTAAGCTCCGCCCACCCCTCAGGGAGGGTGCGCTAAAGCTACGCTGTCACTTTCCCTGCGTGGTTAAGAACCTTCACGTAGGCCCCGCCCAGAGGAGCTGCGTCATGTCACTTTCCCAGTTCGGTCCCACCCCTTCCCTAAGGCTCCTCCCCACCCTCGCCCGGTACAGGCTGCGCCATGTCACTTTCCTTGTGCGGCTCCGCCCTCTTTCCTGGGCCCCGCCCATTCAAGCCCAGAGAGGCTACGCCGCTTCATTACCCCAGCGCGGCCCCGCCCATTCCCTTAAGCCCCGCCCACCATCGCCCAGAGAGGCTGCGCCTCGTCACTTTCCTTGCGCGGCCCCGCCCACCATTCCTGCGCCTTCTCTGGCGCCTGCCAGGGACCGTCTGCAAAGAGGCAACTCCGGGTAAGAACGAACGAAAAGGAGGGAACAAGGGACTGTTGATATGTTCCCTTCTTATTCCAGTTGCATTGAAGTTATTTTTGTTTCCTGTTCTCCTGGTTTTGTGAAACAGACAAAAATTTAAATAAGCTTATTTTTAAAAAAAAGAAAGAAAGAAAAAAACAAAACCTTAGTAAGCCTTGATTTGGGTAGAAAAATTCAAGAAGGAAACCCATGTATTGTTGCATTGTTTTTAAGGTATATAAATAATTTATTATTATTATTATTATTATTATTAAGTGTGTTTTAACATTTGTATTTTTTAACTTGCATTTTTTAAAAAAATATTTTAAACTTGTAATAATTTAATTCTCTTGGAACGTCTCTTGGAAATATTATTATTATTATTATTATTATTATTGTGTTTTAACATTTGTATCTTTTTAACGTGCATTTCTTAAAAAAATTATTTTAAACTTGTAACTTGTAATAATTTAATTCTTTTGGAACGTGCCATTCTTGTCTGCTTTTAATCGTATTGTTTGTAGTTGTTGTTGATATTTTTAAATATTGTAAGCTGCCCTGAATCCCAGTTTTGGAGAAAGGTCAGGATAATTATAAATAAATATGACCACTGCAAAAACAGAGGACCGACTGTATTAATATTATTGTTGTTGTTGTTATTATTATTATTATTCTAGGTTCCTTGGAGGTTTGCCGTGGCCTTCCCCTGAGGAGGCTGAGAGAGTGTGACTACTACTAGCCCAAGGTCCAACTGAGGCCTGGTTTCTGCAGGCCCAAAGGGAGGCCTGGGCTGGCGTTTCTGCCCAAGGGAGGCTCTGTCTTCCACAGAAAGAGAGACATTCTTGGCCTGTGATTCAGGGCCCTTCTTCTGGGGAAACTGGCAAAGCCGGTTCGGTTCGAGGCCAAGAAGAAGGAAGGGGAAAGAAGCCTTGGCAGAGTTTGCAGGCCTTCAACAAAATGGAGGCCTCTCCTCTTTGGTCGCAGAAGGGGACTCTGGTTCGGACTCTGAGGCCCAAAAGAGACCGCTGGAACTGCCCTGGCTCCATGCTAGGGAATTCGATCCGTAGGGAGAGGCGGCAAATATAAATAAAAAATATTATTATTATTATTATTTATTAATGCTAGAGAAAGCTGGGAACTGTAGTGTTTGTGAGACATTGAGCCTTCTTTCTCTGTCACAATGAACTACCATTCCCAGGATTCCCTAGCACTGAGCTGGGGCCATGTCGTTCATTGTGGCCCCAGAGCTCTCCGACAGAGAAGACTAAATGTCTCACAAACACTACCGTTCCCAGAATTCCATAGCACTGAGCCATGGCCGTTAAATTGATCTCAAATAATAATAATAATAGTAATAATGATAATAATAATCATTTATTTTGGATTGTTTCTGCAGTGCAGATGCAGCTTGTCACAGGAAGGTTTGCCATATGCCTCAGGCCCAAAACACACTGCAGAAAGGACCCAGTTTGAGACCGCTTTAACTGCCCTGGCTCAGTGCTAGGGAATCCTGGGAACTGTAGTGTTGGTGAGAGATTTAGCCTTCTCTGTCAGAGAGCGCTGGGGTCACAATGAACTACAATTCCCAGGATTCCTTAGCACTGAGCCAAGGCAGCCAAACCGGTCTCAAATTGGATTATTTGTGCTGTGTGTGTGTCTTGGACCTTTCCCACAGTGCTCTGGTGCTCCCCACCAAACTACAAATCCCAGGATGCCATAGGATGGAGCCGTGGCACTTAAAGCGGTGTCAGACTGCATCGTGGGACGCATCCCTATAGAATCCTGGGACTTGTAGTTTCTTGAGGGCACGAAACTCCAGTGGGATCTGTAGTTTCGAGTCAGGCAAGGCAAGAGGAATTACTAATTTACTGTATTTATGCCTGTAAAAGAAGGCTAGGCGGGCACTAGGACCCCGCGGGATCCGCCGCAGTGACTCTTTCGGGCGTGGTAGATCCCGCAGAGATCCCTCGGGAGATCCGCCTGCTCCAGCCGCCGGATCCGCTTCGGGTCTCCTCTGCAGTCAGGTAAGTCCGGTCCAAACAGGGAAGCCGGTTCCTCCCCAACAGGATCTTTTCCTCCTCCCAGTGGATCCCTTGAGATTCCTCACTTGCCTCAAACGACCCACTTTGGAGGGACTTGCTTCCTCCGCCCAGCCTCCACCTTCTTCCATTTCCTCACCCCACTTGTTTAGTGTTGCCTCTTTCCTCCTTTCCCCCAGTTTTTTTTAAATTAAAAAGGATCCCCTGGGATCCCTTCCCACCCACCTGGGGTCTCTTGGATCCCTTTCCCCTTCACTAGATCTCCCCAAACTCCATTCTCCACCCGACTTATTCACTACTGTCTCTTACCTC